GATTAAAAGAAAAAAGAAGTTTGGTTTCCTCACACCACTCCCAGCTCAGGTCACATTTCTCCAGTATTAAAGGAGGGAAGTGCAGGAGTAAAAGCAGAAATGCAGACCTGTTCTCAGCCCCCACTTTGCAGTCGCCTTGAATTCCTAATGATTACACCAAATGCTCTTAATTACTTCCCCAACGGCAGGGAGAAAAGTGCATGTAGGATCCAATCACATTCTGGCCTTTAGATATCTAAACATAATTTTTAAAAAATTATATGAAATGAGGGGATGGCTCAGTAATTTTAAAACTCCATGTTTATATAAATTGTTTGTTAACCGTGAGTATACACCATCTTCAGTACAGTACCTTCAGTACCATCTTCAGGACCCGAAAAACATGTATTGCATTCCCCTAAAGACAGAAGGACTCTTAATTTGGTAGGCATACTAACTCTTGAAGATTGGACATCTAGGAATAAATGTTGAGCTACAAAATCAGATTCTTCCTCCCTTACTTCCTGGAAGTGTCACATGTGGTGATAAAATTCGATGTAGTTGTTGACAGCATGATAGGTATCAAGGTAGTCCGTTAAGAGTAAGTACTTCCTATAAATTAACTGTCCATTTATTCCCAAGGTAAAAGATATTTATGTAAGTGTACCACTTGTTTGGAGAAAGACTGTATGTTAAACAAACAACACACATCAAGTGTGTCAGAATAATTTCTTGATATTAATAAAAGCTTTATTCTATATATGCTATATATCAACCAACTAAAATTAACGTGAAAGATCAGAAATGTGACATAATTTTCCTTATTTGAAATAAATGTGTGATTTTTTAAAGCTTCTTAACAATTTAAAGTTGGGCCTGGTCTTTTATTAACAACTTCAGAGAGAATACAAAACTATGTTCTTAATCCAGCAACAAAATATTTTAGAAATTATTATGCCTACTAGTACAATGCAGATAATCTTATAGGATCACATAATTAGGTATACAAATGATCAAAAATTACTTTTCTCCAAACTTAGGAAATTGAGGAATTTTTAAATGTATTCTGTAACCCTATTTCCTATCAAATTTTCTTTAAATAAGTCATTTTCTTTGAATCTACCTCCTCATTAACCTAGGCTCCAGCACAAATACATTTTAGTAACACCTGGTCATTTCATCAAGTCTTAGACCTCCATTATTTAAAGTTTTTAGTTTTTTTCATGTTACAGATCTTCACCCTACTCAGAAAAACCTTTATTATTATAAGGTTATTTTGAGGTTTTCATGAGAAATTTTAACAACTAGTCAGTCTTAGTTTTCTCATTTATTGAGAAGATAGGCTTGATTAGCAATTTCCATCATTTCTAGTGCTACATTCTCTTTAAAAATCTCATTCAAACATCTTGTATTCCTTTTACAAATTCTTTTCATTACACAGACTCTTTCAAACAAGTTTCATTTGAGTTCTTGTTATCATAAAACAGGCAGTGCCTCGATAAGTAAAGATAATCTATCTCAGAAGAAAAACAAATTTTTAGAAAAGAAAGGTGACTTGACACATTTTTGTCCGATAGAAATCCAACCTACAAATTTGAAGAGAGGTGATGGGTGTCTTGCTGCATTTTAGGGCTATCTTAACTTGAACAATATGGTCCTTCTTTTTTTGCCACAACTTGAGGGAAATAGAAAACCTACAAAATTTAATTAAAATGTAAGTAATCACGCTATCTATGTAAATATACTTCTCATTCTGCAACTTCATAATTCTGTTTAAAACTATATAGATACCTTTTAGAAAGTAACTTTCATAAAGTAGCCCCTCAGTTAAGTATTAGTGAGGAAACAACTTGTCACTTTAAGGTATTAATGAATCTAAATTCAAAACTATGAGACAATTAGATGCAAGAGTCTGTACCAAACTGACCATATAGGCACCACAAATTGTAGCCACGTGGATGAGCAATGCAGAAAGGTGTTTGTCATTATTCTTTATTGTTTCTTTATTACAGACTAGGTAAATTTGGAATTTAAAAAGAAATAGAAAGACACAACATCAATAACCTTAGCAAATGCAGCATTTGTTATCAGAAGCAAATCTGATCTCTTAATTGATTTCTGATAAAATAACCAAAGGGACAAATCTGATCTCTTTACAAGGTTGGATTAGCACATACTCTGAGGCAAGCACCATTTCACCTGCTGATCCCGGGCACTCAAAACAACGCTTCTGCAGGGCACGCACTACCACTTGCTGACAAGCTTTCAAAGGTTCTCTTAAATTTGGTCAACTCTTTGCAAGACACAAACAATGTCTAACATTGTAATTGGTAGAAAAATGATTCAATTACATATTATTTTACTTAGCATTCAGTTATAGCTAAGTTTTACTTGAAACTCTTACATAAAACCATTTAAACACAGTCATAGTGTAGTCCCTATAAATTCCAGATAAATCTCAAATGCTATCTATGATAAATCATGGGCTAACAGACAAAAAAAGTCATAAGTTGTTGACATAAATCATTTATGCTAACCATAGGCAAATATATAAAACATGAAATTGAAGCTAATTTAGGCAAATGTTTATCAAATTACACTAAACATTTTATTCTAACTCATAGTAAAGATTAAATTTTTAAAATAATATATTAAATATTTCCAACTTACAGTTTGGATTTTCAAAGCAAAATGATATGACTATATGCGAAGTAATAAATTTTCTTTAATCCTTTCACTTTTAAGAATCTTTGCCTGTATTATTTTCTTTAGAGTCTAACTTTATTATGAACCCAGAACTTTTAAGACTTCAATGTTTTAATTTTGTATGGAAACAAGCTGTTTTAAATTATCTTTGGGTTTAGTAACCAAGCCATAATACTATACCTCAATGAAATCAATGGCATAGTATGGTACTGGGATATAATACCTTTATTTAGAACAGGTATAAAACCCTACTATTACTACAAATGTAAGGGCTTATTTTTCTTTTGTGTGATGATTCATGCTTTGAAACCAGCATATTCTTTTTAAGCATTAATGTACCATTGCTCCCTTTTTGAAGTTTATTAAGAGACAAGAATGTCTACAAAATTAGATTTAAGTAAATATGGGGCCTCCCACAAGCAATGAGTACCAAGCAACTTGATAAAACAAATATCAAAACCTCACAATATAAAATCTGCACTATCGTATAACTTTCAAGACATTTCATCAGAAATGACATACAGAAACCCACAAACATCTCATCCTTACACTTTTCTGTTTCTATCATTTCTTGGCTTTATAACAATAGACAAAGTGATTTTTCCGCTTCCTACTGTAGATGTTACTGAAATGTTTGTTTTAAAGTGTTTCAGGTATGTAACTGGTTTGAAAATAGAAAAGTATACACTGAAAGCATAGAAATTTGACTGTTGAATATTCTTAGAGCTTTCCTGAAAGGCATGGTATGGGAAAGAAACAGAAATATCCTCAGTGAAATAATCCCCGAGTTTATACAGTGGTGTTCCCTGAGCTTATATTTCATTTACCACTAAAGAAATGTTCAGCTTCTCTATTTTTTAAATAAACAGCTGTCATAACAACACTCTCATCTACATGCGTGAGTGAAATGCAGAAAAAGACATGGCATATCCATCCTTCCTTAAGCAAGTGGTTTGTTTCAGCATCCCTGTAGTTAAGAGGGAATTTAAGAAGCCCTCATACAGAAGCCATGGCCGACATCTGAATTCCCAGTAATAAGCAACACCAGCAGAGGGCAGGACAGCTGGCAGAACTGACCGCTCCCACGGGTCGCCAGGTACCAAAGGTAAAATGCAAACTTTGGGAGGGCTCCCACTTTCAAAGGCTCTCTCGTGCATATCTGAACATGCCGGATAGGATGAATGAATCTACACCGTCCACAAGGCTCATTTCAAAATTCGAATCTAGTCCCGGCGAGGCTCTGACTCTATTCACCGGGAGAAGCGACACGGAGGCATGATCAGACCCGGGAAGGTGAAAACCACCCAGCGTGTGGGCCGGGGCGCAGAGCTAGGGCCTCGGGGGGCGCCGCATGCCCGCAGGGAGAACTCAGCCCTTGGCGGTTAGACCCAGGGCGAGACTCGGGTTTCTGCCGAAGCCTGCGTCTTTGGGGCTGACAAGCTGGGTCCCTGCCAGCCCGTCCTCGCCCCCCTCCTTCAAACCCGCTTCTGATCCCCGAGC